AAGTCCTTTAATGCCAGCATATTGTCATAAGCCGTCTGAAAGATTTCATTTGTTAAGTACTCATATTGTAAATAACACTTCTTCAAATGTTTCCGTCTTTCTCTCTGCTTGATTATACCTTTTCGTCGTTGTACACATTATCCGGATTCAAGGTCGAATTTTGAATTGAAAAGCCGACATTTCGTGGTGATTCCAAGAATAACATATTAGCTGCTTTGTTCCATGAGTAAACATTCTCGAAAAGGGTGACTCCGTCCGGATTCGGATGGAATGGGCCGAGCTCACTGAGAAGTCCCATCAGTGAAGAACATCCTGGACCTCCATTCAGCCAAAGAACAAGCGGATCAGTTTGGGGATTAGTTTGGGACTCGAGCAGCCTGCAATATAGTGCAGTCTGAGACGGATAATATTCGTGACAATGCTAAGCCTTACCAGTAGTGCAGGTAATTACCCGTGACACCATTGAGGTAACCAGAGTATTGCTTGAAATTCAACTCATAAGTCACACCAGGTAACGTCCACACCCGATCTGCCTGTTTTCTTGTAACTAAAATAAGAAATTGAACAGTAACATATTAGGAAATAAAAAATCAAAGTCTACATGACGGTTGCGGAGGGGCCAAAAATTGTGGAAGTAACGGCTGAGGATTCAGTGAATATGGTATTGAGTTATTGTAGTTTCCAGTATTCAAGAAGTTGTAGAACATTTGCAAGGCTGGTCCGGGTCTATCAGTGGGAACAAAATGACCACCTCCCTTAGAAATAACTTGAATTTGTATAACATCGATGCTGGTAGCAGCTACGTCGATACAGTTTACCTTTACGGTCAGCAAATCTAGTGAGATTTGATTGTAGTTCCAAGACTTCACATAACCTCCAAGTTGGGGCAGGAACGAACCCCTAGTGTAATTCCATGCGTAACGATCCGAGACTATTGTGAACTAGAGAAATTTTTCGAATTCAAACCATGTGTTTCAGTGGAAAGGTGATCTCACATTGTACAAACTAGCCAAACTCTCAATGAACCATTCATCACCAAGGAAATTACAAGCCATATCCACAT